GAGAACCTATATAACTCATTAGGTGGAACACAAAATAAGCGAACTCCATTCTGCACATTTTGCAGAAAGAGACTAACAAACCCTTTCACTTTGCCAACATAAGCAACTTTAATGCCAACATCTTCATCAAAATCAGATAGGACTTCCACATATTCAAATTGATACTCTGAATGATTTTCTGGATTAGAACTCCATTATTTCTATTTCATGACACTTGACAAACTTTTTTTTTGTTTTTTGGACTTTGATTCATGTTATGCGTATATCTGATTGTGCTTACTTCCCAAATTTATTTTTTCTCTTCTTCTTTTTTCCCCATTTTTAGAGCTGTGAAAATACTTGATGGAGGATAAGTCGAGGTGTCTGAATTTTTACAGATTTGATTTTTGTCCCTTTATTTGAATTAGCATCATATAATATACGTTTTTATATAGATTATAAGTCTCCATTATTAAAAACAGATTCCATGTCTCTTTGTTCTGAGAAATTGCACCTCAAATATAAAATTGATGGTCATTCTATATTGAACTTGATATCAGATTATTTTTGGTAGATTTGAAGTTATAGTGTGGTACGATGATAATGATTACAAGAGTCAAATTGATCTTCTCACAAAACGTGGACAATAGGTTTTGCTTCTCCTATCAACCATCCCTAATCCCCCTTTCCGCTTAAATGTGAAGAGTGTGTATCATTATTGAAGCATCACTCCTTTAAACCATTTCATTAGAATTACCAGAGTTATATACTATCAGCAAAAATACTATTTGCTCGAGTTTGATTACCTCCTTTATATTGCTTTGGTTTATTTTAGTACAATTATTGTCTTGGGGACATTTTCTTTTGACTTATATACTATTGGTTCCTACACCATGGCTCCATAATCGATTGAGTTCCAGCAACTATTGGTTCCTCAACAAAGGATATTTTCATGGTTGATAGGATCAATGTACTACTTTACAAAAAAAATCCCCTGAAAAATCTTCTACAAAATGGGGATCACTATTAATTTATAGGATCAATGTATTAATTTATAGACAAAAGTGATCCTACAAAAAATATCCCATCCAAAAATCTTATACAAAATGGGGATCACTATTAATTTATAGGATCACTACTAATTTATAGACAAAACTACATTACAAAAAATATCCCATCCAAAAATCTTCTACAAAAAATGTCACCAACCTGACAAATAGTTATCTTTGTACCTGAAAAATCACAATAAGTAAAAATATAAGCAGCTTTGAACTCATAATTTGAAATTAGAATATCTAAAAACTGTTCGTAATAAATTGGTGCTTACCAAAATACAATAGCTAATATATGTGCAATAAAACTACTCCTTTTGCTTCTCTCTTGCAATATCCATCTACAAATGAATTAGAATAAACTCATTATCAAGTTTAAGATTGAAAACACATCTATAAAGAAATACCTTGCGCTTCTCACAACTGGTTTTATTGTGACCCTTTCCTCCACAATAACTACAAGTCTTATGTTGTTTTGAAATCAACTCAATGCTTGATTTCAATCGTGAAGCAACCTTTGGACGCCCTTTAGTTTTGACTGGATGCATGGGATCACGCACATAGTTAATGAGTGAAACTTGTGAAAGAATTTCGGGAGTTAGTGAAGGAACAACTTGGGGAATTGCTTCATCTTCAATTATATTTCTCTTTCTTTCCAGTTGCTGTCTAATAAAGTCAGCAAGAAAATCATCAAACTTTCTAATTTCAGACATACAATCTCTTGCTTCGGAAATAGCCATATTGCACTTGGAGTGAAGCGACCACAAGAACAATGCACTAACTTCCTTAGTGGGTGTATCAGCATGATCACCTACAAGATTTTCAACCTTATAGCTTGCATTCATGGTCCATCTAGACAAAATATATTTTTCAGGAAGGGTTTTTAATTTTTTCCTCCTCATAATATATAGAATATGTTTGCACAAAATTCCCATAGTCTGAAATTTTCCACAAGAACAATCAGCTGTGAAGGTTTCTGTCAAATGATAGTCAACAATTGCCCACCACTCTTTATCAACTTCGTGAGACCCCACCTTGTACCTAAAAGAAAAGGAGATCAAAGAAAACCATTTGAAATCTTTTGCATCAATTTAACATATACTCCTAATTGTACCTGATTAGATCTTCATTCATTAAAATCTTTTCATGCTCATAATGAAGAACAGCTTCCATCCACTCCTTTTTAAATATATTAAATATTTTTCTTGTGTAACGCTCACCAGCTATTGCTTCAATTTGATGAGTAGTCTCCAAAATTGCTTTTGTATTTCTAGTTTTAAAATCTTCATCTTCTTCAGCATCCCTCCTACTCTTAATTGCTTTGTCATATTGAGTAACAAAGTCATTTAACATTGTGTTGGAGTTGACGTATCCATCAAAAAAAGCATTGATGCTCTCACTTCGGCCACTTGTGGTCATTCCAGCCCAAAAAGTATCTTTCAAATATACCTTTGCCCAATGATGACGTGAAACATACATGTTAGCCAACCAAGTTCCTTCTTTAATATCATATTTAGTCTTCAATGATTCCCAGCTGCCTTCAAACTCATCAATGCTTCGACTTTTATACCATGCACGAAAGTCAACATCAAAACTCTCCTTAAATTGTGAGCGTAGTGCTTGAGTGTGTTCCATAACATGTTTTTTCATGTGCCACGCACAAAAACGATGTCGTGCTTTTGGAAATATTTTGGCAATTGCTTTTCCAATAGCTTTGTCTTGATCAGTGATAATAGCAATAGGAGACTTATCAAACATACATTCCAGAAATTGTTCAAACAACCATGTAAATGTTGCCTCTGTTTCATCTTCTAACAAAGCGGCTGCAAATAAAATTGATTGCCCATGGTGATTAACCCCAACGAAAGGGGCAAAGGGAAACTTGAACTTATTTGTTTGGTAAGTCACATCAAACACAAGAACATCACCAAATTGAACATATGCTGCTCTTGACCTACCATCCGCCCAGAATACGCTTCTTAATGTTCCATCTTCGGCTAAATGCATATCAAAATAAAAAGATCCATCAAGAACAGACTTCCTTTGAAAGTGTTTAATGATGCCTTGACATTCTCGCCCCACATTATTCTTTCGTTGGCTTGATATAATAGTGGAGATTTGCACTGGAGTAATATTAACTTCTTTGTCCATAGCATTCACCACCTTTGAGATTTTTGAAGAAGTTAAACCCTCCTCAGAAAGCATAGAAACAAGAGATTTAGTAAACTTTGAGCGTCGTAATTCATTCTGAGAAGAAAACTTCTTCACCTTTGATGGAGTGTTAATCAATGAATGATTGTGTGTATCATTGAACTTCTCCACTTTCCATACTCCATCCACCAACTTTATTTGTAACATCGCCAAACAATTAGTCCTTGTATCCCTTCGCCTTTTAACTACTTTATCATTCACTTTCTTGATGCCTTCTTTCGAACACACATACCTCCACCTATATATTTGCTGTGTTCTTGCACTCTTGTTAAAAAATTGCTTACGTATTCCAAACCCCTTACCTTTTGCATGATCATTATAAAAAACATAAGCTTCTTCTGATGTCCCAAAGACCCTACATAAAAAACTAGTCTCACTAAATTCATTGATATCATCTCCCACAATTTCAAGTACAACATTTTGCACATGATCACCATCTTCATCTTCCATAATTTCACACTCATCATCATCAACAAACTCATCAGTGTCTTTCTCCAAATCAACAACATCATCATAACGTGCTAAACTCCCACTCACGTCAATGTCTTCAATAGTTATTATTTGGGAGTGATCCATTATAACAAACTCATGATTGTCTTTCTCAATTGAATTTTGATGCACTGAAACACTCTAGTAATTCTAATGTGATGCCTTAATATCTTTTCAAACTTCTTAGACATTTGTAAAATCAGATAAAATTGATAGTTTTGCACACAACCTATATTCACAAGACCAAAAAATAAAACACCTTAGTTGAAATAAATCATATTTGATGTAGAGGATATCATCAGTAAAAGAATTATTTAATTAATGAGTCATATTTGATTAAAAAAAATATCACACCCATAGTTGAAATAATTGCACTTGGGTTTTGTTGATGTAATATGAAAACTAAAAACAAGCTCATGAAATAGTTGCAAACTTGAAAGCCATCAAAATATGTTAATACAGCAGCAAAGGGGAAACCATAGACACATATACAATTCTATTTCATTTGCCAAATTAAACATGGTGCGTTAATTGATTAATGAGAAGCTGAAAATAAAAAATAGAAAAAAACCATGCCAAAGCTGCAAAGTTTAATGCTATCAAAATAGGAGCTAAGGAAGACCCCCAAAAAAAAAAAAATTAAATAGAGGGACAAAAATCAAACCTGTAAAAATTCAGACACCTCAACTTGCCTCACAACTCCTATATCCTCCATCAAGTATTTTCACAGCTCTAAAAATGGGGAAAAAAGAAGAAGAGAAAAAAAAAATTGGGAAGTAAGCACAATCAGATATACGCATAACATGAATCAAAGTCCAAAAAAGAAAGTCCGTCAAGTGTCATGAAATAGAAATAGGGTTTTTGATTTTACCTTTTCATCTATTGGTTGCATTGGTGGTATTTGCTAATCTTCTATTTTTGTGTTTCCTTTGCTTGATGTTTATCGCAGCATCTCTTTCCGCCTTCAAGATAAATCTGAATCGATGGTTTTATCAAAGTGTTTAGGTGAGAACGAAATCGAAGAAAAACCAACTATGAGAATGGAAAAGAGAATGAGGGAAAAACAAGTTTGAGGGGAAAGAATACCACTTGGTTGCAGAGAGATGAGAAGGGACAATACATTTGGAACAAAGAAATAAATTGATTTTTCAAACGAAACGCTGCGTTTTATTTAAAATGATGTAGTGTTACATCCTTCAAAAGCATAGATACTTTTCCCATAAATAAAACACATCCACCTTCACAGTTTGGTGGTAGGAAGAGAAAAGATTCATCAAACCCTTTTCTTTCTCTCTTCTTCAATCAAAAACCCCCTTTACACCCTCCATTGTTGAAGTGAAGGGTTCAGACTCAATTGTTGATACTCACAGAAACAGTTAATGAAATGTCACAAATGATTGACCAAACACCCTCAACGCCAGGGAAGCTGAAGCCTGAAAAATCTCACTACATTCACAATCGCTTCAGAGTCCATTCTTCTCTCTCCAAGCTCACTCTCTGGTCCTCACTCTTCCTCGCTATCATTCTCTTCTTTTTCATCCTTTCCCCTCCCACCGCCGCCCCCTCCGCCTCTCCCCGCCGCGCCCTCGGTGACTCATGGGGCGGCTCTTATTGGGAAAAGCGCGTCACTAAATCGGCGCGGAGGAACTCCGCCTCCGGACTCACCGTCCTCGTCACCGGCGCCTCCGGATTCGTCGGCACGCACGTCTCCCTCGCCTTGAAGCGCCGCGGCGATGGCGTCCTCGGCCTCGACAACTTCAACAGGTACTACGACCCTAACCTCAAGCGCGCTCGCCAGAAGCTCCTCGAACGCGCCGGCGTCTTCGTCGTCGACGGCGACATCAACGACGCCGCGCTCCTCCGGAAGCTCTTCGACGTGGTGCCGTTCACCCACGTGATGCACCTCGCGGCGCAGGCTGGGGTCCGCTACGCTATGCAGAACCCTGGATCCTATGTGCACAGCAACATCGCAGGGTTCGTGAGCCTTCTCGAAGCGTGCAAATCGGCGAACCCACAACCCGCCATTGTTTGGGCTTCGTCGAGCTCAGTTTACGGGCTCAATTCGAAGGTGCCGTTCTCGGAGAAAGACCGAACGGATCAACCGGCGAGCCTGTACGCGGCGACGAAAAAAGCTGGTGAGGAAATCGCTCATACCTATAACCATATCTATGGTCTTTCGATCACTGGGTTGAGATTCTTCACGGTTTATGGCCCGTGGGGAAGACCTGACATGGCGTATTTCTTCTTCACGAAGGATATTCTGAAGGGGAAGCAGATTACGATCTTTGAGGCACCTGATGGTGGAACCGTGGCTAGGGATTTTACCTACATTGATGATGTTGTTAAGGGTTGTTTGGGGGCTTTGGATACGGCCAAGAAGAGTACTGGTAGTGGTGGCAAGAAGAAGGGTCCTGCGCAATTGAGGGTTTTTAATTTGGGGAATACTTCACCGGTGCCGGTGAGTGAGCTTGTCACCATATTGGAGAAGCTTCTGAAAACCAAGGCGAAGAAGAAGATGCTTCCTATGCCGAGAAATGGAGATGTTAAGTTCACCCATGCAAATATTAGTTTGGCTCACAAGGACCTTGGTTACAGACCTACCACTGATTTGGAGACAGGGCTCAGGAAATTTGTGAAGTGGTACCTTGAATTTTATTCTGGGTCTAACAAGAGGAGTGCTTGGTGATTCTTTTATGTCCTTCCCTTCCCCCTATTTGTGACTAATTCACCATTTTTTTGCAGAGTATCGGTTTGAAGTTGCTTATAATTGATTGCTGGTTTACAGTTGTATTTAGGGATTAGGGAAGAACTAGGCATCATTGTCCCTCTTTTTTTCTTCTTTGTAATTTTGCTTCACTTTCATATTCAATTGTATGCCTTTTAGGTTATTCATTGTACATTCTTCAATTGAGACTTGAGAGTTCAAGTTGATGTTACTTGTTTGTGCACGGTTTTTTAATTTTCTTGTATGTTTTCAGTTCAAAACATTTGCATCCTAAAGTGTTCCTTTGCCTATTAATTTGAAATTGTGCTAATGGACTCGTTTTGCTGTGTTTTTGGTTTAAACTAGCTTGTCATTTGGGGATGAATTGCCTGCTTCCCGCATGTAATGCTAATACTGTTGCTAAGTTGATTCTCTTAGAGATCAGTCTTGTTGAATTGGAATTCTTTTGGCTATGGATTTGTTTGGTCTGGATTACGGATGTTAGATGAGAGTGCTAAAACTTGCAAATGTGCAGGTACAGACCTATTTTAGTGGCTTATGAGTCATGCCAATGGTGACATTGGTGGAACTTTCATTGTAAAATATCAGTAGTAAATACTTAGTAAGTTTCTGTCATTCCGAATGCTGTTTGGTTTTATAGTTTCACTTGGTTTTTTCACATATTTATGCCGTTTGGTGGCACTAACTTTGGTTTGATGACTGAGTAATTAACAAATGATTATTGTTATGAAATGGTACTTGAACAGAGCTAAAATGATAAATATGTACTTGGTCATGTATGACAGCATAGATATGAGGGTTGCAATGATATTCAAGGACGATTAATTTGAATAAAATGCTTTCTAGAAATTTGCCAGTTTCTTTTAGCTTTGCTGGGAGTTTGGTGTTGTTATGAATGATCAAGAGTGGCTAAAACCATGAACGCATTTAGATCAGATCCTGTGTGAATTAGAGCCTCTCAGCCTCAATCTTATCAAGGAAAGTTTTTTATATGCTCTCAGTTTTAAAGAGCACCCTTATGATAAGAAGATCACGAGTTCAAGTACAAAAATTAGTTTCATTATAAAAATGCAATGCAAAGGTAAGATTGTTAATAATTAATCTGACCCCTGTCCTTAACAAAGTTGGAGAGCCTTTTCACCGGTTTGCGCTTTTTATCATACATGAAGACTGCTTAACTCCCACAAAGTTTTTGTATAGTGAATGTGCGAGTAACTCGACAGGAGTAGCAGCCTAGAGATGAGTTAGTTGAGTAGGAGCTGCATGATTCGCTTTGATTTTCCAAATTATACATTGCTCGCTTTGATGTGCCAGTAACTCTTGCATTCGAAGTGACTGAAGAAGCATTTGATTGAATCTTATCTTCAGTTGACATTTTTTAAATTTTTTTATTAGTTCAAAGTAAGTACAACTTCATTTGTCAGCTAGAGATTGATTGATGACAGGCCAACTTGCTGCAACTCTTGCGTCGTTGCCAGACAGTGGTTGAAGAAGCTTCATACCAGCTGAAGTTGGATTGTTAAATCTTCATTCCTGTCAGTTTAGGTGACACGTTTGGTGCTCAAACGATAAAACAAAAGCTTCTTTTTCCTACACCTATAAATGCTCTTGGATCGGGTGCTTCACCAGTCTAGCTAGAGCTGGATGATATTATATCAGAGTAAACCAAATTCATCTAATTGGTCATTTAAATATTAAGGTGTCGTTTTATTAGTTTTTTTAAAGAACTTTTTTTTCCCTAAATTAAGTGTCATTATATTAATCCTAAATGTTTAGAAGACTAATATAACTTAATTTTTGAAGGAGTAATTTAATAATAAGAATTTTACGAAATTAACTTGATGATGTACTAATTTTTACAGTATCAAGTAAGAGTTTACTCTATATTAAACTAGCATAAAGCTGTGTTAGATTGTATTAATGCTGATGGACTATGTGCCTGTCCATTTCTCGCCAAATGACTCTTATTCGCTGGTTAGGTGATTTCAAACTCAATAACCAATCCATCAATTTTTATTTTTGGGGGCCGAGAGAAAAGGGGTGAAGTAAGAATTGCAGGTCATGCTAACGACTGACTGATATTCCTATTCTTTATCGGAGCACATGGCTTATTGTTGAAAGTATGGGATTAGGCTGAACATGTAAAAACTCAAAAAAGTTACTGAATCACACTTACTAAACTTGTCACTCAATTTGTTTAAGAAATGAGTTCGAATTTGATGCTCAAGCTTTTTTCCTTCGTTTTGCTGGCTCACTCATTACCAATTTACCACTCCTTGGAAGGTCATCTTCCTCTTGTAATTTCTCTCATAGCAGAAGTTTGCCTGCTCTTGCACAAACTCCTTTGGATGTCGTGGTTATGTTGATACAAATTTATTTTGGACTATAACTCTCTAGGGAATAGTTTTGATTTTTGATAACGCTAATAAATATTCTTCTCTGAAACTTTTTATATTAGCCAAACCGTTCATGTTTGTATCAGAATGTGAAGTATGAACCATGAAATAGCTTGCTCTTCTACTTTGAGAATGACTATGACTGCTATATCAAACTTAAACATCACTAACTCCCAAGTTCAGTCCAAACTTAGCATTCTTGTACAAGTTGAGGCATAACAAAATAACCCAAAAGGTTAGCACACCTGGTGGAACCTTTCGTCCATGTTAGTTTTGAAATTGATGGTATTCCATGATCTAGCAATTAGACTGCCTTCCTCTAATTTAATTTTTTTTTTTTTTATATAAATAAAACAAAATAACCCAAAGTGGAGCTGTTAGGAAGACAGGTGAGTAGGAATGGAAGTGACTTAAGAGCATGCTTAAATGATAGATAGAGTTTATTGACTTGAGTTCCAAGTGTGCACAGGCAAGCCATTGAAGAAATGTAAATGGCATGTTTTCATATTTTTTTTCTCGCTGCTGTTGCTGGTTTCATTAGATCCTTCTATGTAGTCTTTTTGTAATCAAACGATCCCGACCCTTTGCAGCGACCTTATGAACTGTTAGACGGCAAATAACAACATAATAAGACATTTGAGAAATGGAAAATAGTATGTTCATCGAAGACATCAGGAGTCAAGACAGAATGAGCTTTATACTGTGTAATGCTGTGTAATGAATGACAACTTAGCAAACATATTTGAACAGAGAATATTCAGTGGATAACCTCTACAATTAATTATGAAAATTCTAATTCTAACACGCATCCCAAGAGAATAAATTGTTACTAAGAAGCACGACATCGTTAGCATTCCTTCCAAAGTTCCAATGAATTCATTTGTGACCAGTTGAAGCTTTTGAAGATGAGAGTATGAGACTACTATGCCACACAGCACACTTTTGGTTTTGGTTCGTCATAAATGCATGTGCGACGCCCGAAAAAGTCTATTATTTTTATTATTTAGACCTATTATTTTTATAGAAGTATATCAGGGAACATTGACCATTTTGTCACGCCTGGCCAAATTATTTACCAGACTGTCAAGCCAACAGTGAAAAATCTCGGAATGCCACGCGGCATAATTCGCTTCTCTGTACAGCGAAATATGTTTGCAAATAATTCGCTACACAGTGCAGCGAATTATGTCATGTCAGGCTGCACAGTCAGCAAAAATGACACGTGTCAAGCAGGCAGCAATACAAGCATAATATTCGCTACACAGTGTAGCGAATTAATGCCTGCTTGACACGTGTCATTTTTGCTGACTGTGCAGACATAATTCGCTGCACTGTGTAGCGAATTATTTGCAAACATATTTCGCTGCACAGTGTAACGAATTAGACCGCGTGACATTCCGAGAATTTTTAATGTTGACGGACCAGTCTGGTAAATAATTTACTGAAGTGTGGCAAAATCGTCATTCAAGTATATCATCTAACCTTCTATCAGTTCTATGGCTTCTATTAGTTGAGAAACAGAAAGAGAGTGGAAAAGCTTCAAACTATTATTTATATTAGTTGTGGTTGTAAAATTGTATCACTTAGATCTCTTTAATCTTAAAAATATAAAATATTTATTTTTCTTAATGTTTATCATATATAATTATAATATTATCAATTAAAATAGTGATTCAATTAAATATTAAATATTATACTGAAAATTATCCAAAATGATTTATCTTAAAATTTTATCATAAAAAATAATAATTTATTTAAAATTGTCTTAAAAATTGAAAATATTATATAAGAGAAATTCAAATCCTATTATCTTAAAATGTACTTAAATCAAATATAGATTTTAAAAAATTTATTTTCCCTATTTTTATCTTTAAAAATTTTAATTCAAGTATTATTTTATTTTTTCTAATCTTTTCGTGAGTGATTAATAATATTGATAATTTTTAGGATAATTTTTGAATAATTAATTAATTTTTTATGAAAAATTTTAAAATAATTTTTAAGAAAATAATTTTAGATTATTTTTAAGTAAATAATTTTAGATAATCTTTAATTTAATTTTTAACACTTTTTTTTTTGGTAAATAATTTTTAACACTTTATTATGCTTTTACAATTACAATAAATATATAATAATTTGAAACTAGAGGAATTAAGTAATAGTACAATAGATATAGATATAAATAAATTTGAAACTACAATAATCACAAGGTAAAAATAATTTTTTTCTAAAATATAAAAACAAATAAGGTTGAGAGAGAGAGTGAATGTAAATATTTTTTACTTTTGTTTGTAACTAATGTCATGGTCATTTGGTGGGGTCATTAGAGATTACATGGCATCTGTATGCAATTAGCGGCTAGCTGATACTTTAGACAATTTGACGTGTTATGTTTGACACTACTCGATACTTCAATACGCGTTGTAGAGATTCAAAAAAAAAAATTAAATGTTGCATTGTGTTGCGTTTTTAGTTCCAACTATTAGATTCGTTAGATTACGATTACCATTTTATTGAGTTTAATATAAATATTTGTGGTATCTTATTTTTTTGTAAAATTAATGAGTATTATAAGTTTAACTTCATTTTTTTAAAATTATTAAATATTAAATATAATATACACTATATAAATTAAAAATATTATTTAATATCAAAACGTGTCCTAACGTGTCAAAATCTAATACTTTTTAAAATTAATGTGTTGGAGTGTCATGACGTGTCTATCTCGTATCTCGTATTAGTGTCGATGCAACATAGATTAGCGGTGTAAATGGACTAGACGGCTTATAGGGGCCTATGGTCGAGCCTATATTAGGTCAAGCTTGACATATTACAAATAGTCAAATATAACAAGTTTAGACTTTTAAAAAAAAAATATTTAGAAAACAGGTCATAGGCTTTTTTTTATGTATATCGAGTCTATAATCCTACAATTTGACCTATACCATAATATTTATTTTAAATAAAATTATTATTTTAATAATTTTGTATAATAAAATAATATTATTTTAATTATTATTTTTTAATTATTGAATATTTAATAGGCTTAAAAATACTAAGGGGGTGTATTGGATTGGAATTTCAAAGGATTTTAATGGATTATTTTTGGACAAAAAAACTATTGGTATTCAATTAAGATTTTAAAGGATTGAAAAAAAGTCATATGGTATTCGATTAGGATTTTAAAAGATTATTTTAGAGTCCGTCCAAATTCGTTTGTATTCAATCAGGATTTTAAATAAAGGAAAAACAATCTTGTGATATTCAAACATCTTATGATTTTAATGAATTTTCAATTGGTGTGGATTTCGTGAGACTTTTTAATGAGAAATATAAATAGGATGTCTCTCTCACAATCTCATTCTAACCCTAAGGATTTCTTGAGATTTCTCTATTGCAGTGTTTTCTTCTTACTTTGATGGGTCGACCACCTCGAAATCGAGTTTCGCCTTGGGAGCTTCGTCAAAGCTCAAAAACAACATATTTTTGAGCGATTTTCATCACAAAATAACACATAAACAACCAGACAAGATTTTAATCTAATTCATTTAAAAAATAGCATATTTTGAAGCTAGTTTTGAGAATTTTTTAAAGTTTACAAATTATTTTTTAAACTATTGGTCATAATTTTTCTTGGTACAAAAAAATGTGATTTTTGTATTAAAAACAACATAAAAAATTGACAAAACAACAGGGGAACAAAAATCCTCAAACCAATTTTCATTTTACATTAATGAAACAAGATCGATTTAAAGAAAAATTGAAACTTTCATAATATGAACCTTATGTTTCGTAATACATTCATGAACGAAATTCTTTCGCTATAGAAAACGATTTCAAACAATTTTTGTGTCAATAGATCACTAAAAACTTGTTTTTCAAAACCCCCCAAAGCAATTTATCGATTGAAAACAATTTGAGAAATTTTCTAAACTTTCATGTAATAAAACCCAGAATTCAGATTTGAAATTTTCTTGGAATACTCAATAAAAACATGCATATAATATATTGTTAGAAAACTCTCATAACGTAGAACAAAAATCTTAAGGTTTACAAGATCAATTGCAAAAAATTACAAACGAAAATTTATCATGAATTTTACTAATTGAGAAAATTATATTACATTTTACTTTTTTTATTAATTTTTTATTGACTATTGTAATTTTGAATGTGTGTTAAAAATTCATATGATTTTTTAAAATCTTATAAATCCATATTGTCCTTTCAAATCTTATAAATTCTATTAAAATCCAATCTTAAGAAATCTTGATTGTGAGAAAAATAGTCTTTTAAAAAAGTCTTTAAATTCTCTCAATTCTGAATAGTCTTTTAAAATCTATAAGTTTTTTATCTCAAAAAATTCTTTTAAAATCCTAATCCAATATATCCTCTCAATGTTATTAAAATCGGCCCGGTCAATGACCCGGTCGAGGTACTGGGTCACTGGTTCAACCAGTGGGTCACTGGTTGAATCGCATGACCCGATGATTATATATAAATCTATAATTTATACTAAAAAAATTATAAACATACTCAGATAGCTGAAAAAATAATATAAATTCTAAATATTTTAATATAAAAAATAATAAATTATACATTATTGTCTAATAAAGGATCAAACAAACACATAATGCTTGTTATATTGGTGTTTCAGGTTTTGTAAATGACATAGTATCAAATCAAAAATCCTTGTATAGTGCATAATTGAGATAATATTAAGATTGTAGGTACATAACTTATGTAAGTCAATAAGTAACAGATCACTCAAATATGTTAATTATAATTTTTTTTTTTGAAAACTTTTTTTTTTAAATATTTTTTTAAAAAAAACCCGGGGCCGGGTCACCGGTTTTTCACCGAAACCGGCCAGGTCATATCGAGTCTGATACTTGACCAATCCAATATGATAACTGGACCGATCAGATGACCGGTTCACTGGATTGACAGAGCTCGTCCCGTCCGATTTTCACAACAATGCATTCCCTAACAAAAATTTTATTTTTTAAATACAAATCAGATCAAATTTATAATTTGTAGCCGTCGATGTTTTTTACACAAATGTTATTTATTTAAGTTAAAACCTTCCCAAGCCTATTTACTCCCGTATCTTCAATGCTAATAATGCATCGGTCTGAAATTGAAGAATTGAGAAAAGAGATCGATTTGATGGCGTAAGGACTAAGAAGGAAGAGGACATCACACACATCCTTACCAATTAAGCCATGAAAGGCGTCTTTTCGGCGCCCGGTGATTACATCCACTTCAAGTCCCAAGTCCCTCTTCACAAAATCCCAGTATGTTCTTTCTCTTTTCCTTTCTTCTTCTTTTCAATTCCTTTTCTTGTTTCTCCCAATTGCATACTTCTAGGTATTCTTACATCTTCGTTAGTACAGCATGAATAGATTCCAAGATGCGATATGTATGTTCAAATCAAAGGTTCCCTTCGTTGTCGATGCCATAAAATGAAACTATACAGTGGATTGGTCATTTTCGGAACCTCCTTGGTCTTCCACGACATACATGACTGTTTCTACATTCATTATTGGATTCTGCTTGCTATTGAATTATTTTTCTGGCTTGGTGGCTTTTCCGTAGTTGATACCTGTTTCTTTTTGGGAGAGGGGGATTTTCCATTATGCAATTTCATTCATCCTTTTACTTTTTAATTTTCGCAGATTGGCACTAAGCAGTGGCGATATTATGATTTCGGTCCAAAAGTTGTACCTCCACTTATATGTCTTCCTGGAATAGCTGGAACAGCAGATGTATACTACAAACAGATCATGTCATTATCCATGAAGGTACTGCATATTGTGACATCGGAAGCCCTAAATATTATCACATCCAATGTATTTCCACTAATCACCATCAATTGAGAGTGCTATCTTTATGTTGGAATGGCCTAATCTTGATTATTCCATCTTACATGGATAGTGGAGACTCAAGATTAGAAGTTACTTAAAGATCACTTGACCTCATAAAAAAGCCACATGACTTTATGTTCTAATCTTGACCATACATGAATGATTCAATGGTTTAGATTTGATCCACTCGTTCTCACAATTAGTTACTCCTTTTAGTTGATATGCATAGTTGTTGGAATCTTATGATTTGCGATTTGAATCTCACAACACAACAAGCTAGCAATTTGTATTATGTGATGAATTGGAGATAACTTAGAATTATTAGATATATGGATGAATCGGTGCGATTCCTTATTATCGATACGAATCGCATGATCCAATGATTCATTATTTATTTTTTTCTTTTTTGCTTTGCTTTCATCAATTCTCATAAAAGTAATTGAAAAGTCAAAAAAGCTTAAATAGTTAAATTGAATGCACTCTATTTGATTATTCCATTCCTTTGTTTTCATTATTAGGAAATAGGGGTTTCCATAACTAGCAATAGCGCGTTATACACCACGATTTCTGCTATGCACACTACAATTTGCTGTAGTGGTCGTGATAGCAACCAACATAGTCGAAAATTGTGGTGAAATCATACCGCAATAGTGAAGAAGGGTGAAATTCCTCTTTTGGCCGTGGTTTTAGGGTTTCAACGATTTGATTTTGGGGGCAGTTTGGGCTTTTTGCAAAAAAATTCATCTTCCCTTAGTGTGTCTCCTCCGCAAGTCCGCAACTCACTCAAAATCGAAATCCTACCACCCCTACTCCTAACAATCCACCAACTAGCAACCCTACCACCGTCGTTGACCCTTCCAATCTGTACGCAAGCGATTGAACCCTTTCCTTGTGATCAACCCTTTCAGTGATTCTAGTTTGAGACAGAATTTGAAACCCTTTCTTGCATGTGTGCTATTTGAGCGGCTTACCAGCCTTTATCTTGCGAAAACCTCTCTCCTTCTCAGTCTTGACCATCTCTATTCCTTTTTCTCCAGCTGTGACCTCTGTTCCAGCAATGATTCAAAGTCTATTTCTTCTTGTGGTTTGGTGAAATCCATTGGGGATAACCTTTACATGACATCACAATGAATGATATTGATAATATATTTAATTATGAATAAATGTTTATTTTTTAGCATTTAAATGTGTAGTATATTCATAAAACAGGTTCATCTGTAGGACTTTGTTGTTGCACTACCGCTACGTGCTATAGCATTATAGCATTTTCAGGGGTCGGCCACTATTGGCTTTTAGCCGCGTTGGATGACTATGGGGGTTTCTCACAGTCACCCACTCAGTCTATGCATGCTATTTGTCTATTTTATTGCTCTTTTTCATATTTTTGAAATAGAAGCTTCACACATTAACTTGCTTACTCTATATACATCTTATGTGGTCATATCATTGCTCTATTTTTGTTCTTTTGAAACTTAGGCTTCACATAGTCATTTTATGTGACTCAGTTATGACTTATAATTTTGTTTTTTGATATTTATGTTTAAGTTGTTTCGACAACTCCTAGTTGAAATTATTACATTGAGTGTTATACATCGTTTATTTTATGTTTCCAGCTTTTTTTCGTTGTGCTTTTGAATGTTACGATTTGAAACAATTCATGATTCAATAATTAGCTTGGTGGTTCACAATTGAATTGCAATTTGATAACCTTGATATCTATATATAAGCACAAAGCCATGCAAACTAAAAATAAAAAAAAGCTTCGCATAACCCTTTGAGTATATAGGCAACACACGACAAACGTTTAAAATGCACTTTTGCAGCTGAGTACTGCTAAACTGGAGAGAGCAATAACCTAGAAAATCAGCCAACTGCAGGATGAAGTATAATTAATGGTTAAACTTTTGTTGGATAGTTACATGATCTAGTAGCTATCTCTTTACATTATAAATTGTAAGAAAGATTAATGCTAAATATTAGGAATTGAAATTCACAAATGCAATATGAAAGATATTTATTAAATTGGGGGTGGGCATTAGTAATACAATTTGTGTAACAACCAACGGGATAAATAGCACTATGAAACAAAATATTCTTATCATATATTGCCTACTAAAAGGAGTTTACTAGGTTTTAGTTTATTTCTTCGCTGTGTACTTGTATTTGTATATGCTTTCAATAATCCTCATAAATTGGAATTCTATAAGGAGTAACCAAAGGGTTCATTTTGTGCAGGGTTATCGTGTCATATCTGTTGATATACCTCGAGTATGGCATCATACTGACTGGATTCAAGCATTTGAAAAGTTCTTGGATGCTATTGATGTACACCATGTATGATCTCCTCAATCTTTCACCATGTTTTCTACGACCAACTCTTTTCTCATCAAATTGGTATTTAGCTTTATCTGCTGTTTTTCATCTATAAATTTTTGTGAAACCTCTTCTTTAGATTCTAAATGTATAAATTGTTTGCTTTTGAAGTCACTTGTGCTTATTTTGGTATCAAGCAATTTGATATCGTTTCTCTATGTTGGAGAAATTAATCATTCTATTGACAGAGCCCCGTACTGCTAGTTTGCGACTAGTTCAAAAAGAATTATTCTAACATCTGTGGAGGTTCTTATAACTTTTCAGTTTTGAACATTCTCTAATATTCATATATTAGAAAGAAAAAAAAAACTTTTTCCTTTTGTTGTGCACCATTACCGTTTTGTTAGGAGTCGTAACATGTTATGACTTTGGAATTTTGGATATTGTGTTGGATGTCTATATACCTTTACCTTGTGGAGGGGATGATTCCTAGACATTTCCAAGATTTTGGGATATGCTCTTGGATTTAAGTAGGCCAAACAACCCAAGCCTAAGCTAAAGCCTAACCCCAATCTACTAACAACCTTGGAGCATCAGCCCAAGTATAGAACGGTAAACTAAAGTAGGGCTTAACGTTCAGTTTTAAGAACCTTTTTGAACCTACTCACTTAAAATTGCCGATTTCAATGAACTAATTGTTTATAAAGGACAGACCCCCTATGGAAGATACTTGTTATTATTTGTTTCCTTTATTGGTCAGATTATGTTTATAAGTGGAGATAAGATTGGTGAAGAGCTGAGGAACATGAAGAATATTTTTTAGAAACAAGGAGGGTTGAATTTGAATATTATCAGAACCCACAATTGATTTATGGGATCCATCAGCTACAATTATAGTATGGATACCACTAGTAAGGTGATATGAACGAAATGGCTCAGCTAGACAAGTTATATGATAAGTTGAACCAGAATCCACAATCCATGAATTTTTGAAATCATGCAAGAGGCAAGAAGAGATGTAGGGTGTGTGATCTTACCAGACTTAGCCAAAGAACAAATGTCATGTGGCTTCTAAAAGTATCAGCAATAGCCTTAATTGTCTCCAACTCTCCTTGTTGAATAGTCACATATGGGGTTGCTTTACCAAGCTTGTCTAGAACCTGTTGTTTCCCATGAAGGTGAAAGCACATCTTTTGTGTGTCCAGACCCCTTACATTGGATGCACAAACGTCCCATGGACGAAAAAAGAAAGCAGTGCAAAAAGGGTTTGGATAATTACCACGGAAGTTAATGAAGTTTTCGAGAACCCCAAACAGAAATGGAAAGATTAGATCTGAGTAATGGAGGTTCAAGAAAGCCAAAAAAAAACTTGAATATGCAATCTAAACTATGTCCATTGAATGAAGTGAAGGTAAATCTAAAGAGAGGATGGGTCAGAAACGTCGCCGAAATTTTTTTCCGGTGGCGTCTGACAACTGTGGTAGCGATTGGAATGGGACCAGAACCGACACAATCAAAGCACGGCTAGTGAAAAGCGCACTAAAGGCGAAGAACAATCCCGCATGGTAGGTGGCGACTGCGGCTGGAGGCAGATGGTTGCTCTGGAGGCAGGCTTAGGGTTTAGCGGAAGCAGAGGCAGACACCCCAAGTGCACAAGACTCCCCGACTTGAGAGGGTAGGGGTGAGAGTCGATTGTACATAGTCTTATCCTTGCATTTTTGCAAAGAGACTGTTCCCATACTTGAAGCCATTTTATAATGAATTAAATTGATAAATGTTTTTCCTTCCTAGATTTTTTAAGCCAAGTCCTTTTGCAATTTATTTGAAGACACAGCATGTGAGCCTAAATATATTCCAATCCTGCCTAAATTGCAGGCAAGCAAGCCTACTTTTAAACTTTTCATGGTTATTCAAGCTGCTTGTCAGTTACACTGTCTTGCATGAAATTTGTAGTTAAATTTTATGTCTGTTTTTATAAAAGTCCAAATGCTCCTGCCACAAGCATTTCAGTGAGGATGTAGTTTGCTGCTGGAAATACGTTTTGTTTGGTTAAGGCTTAATTTCTGGGCCTTTAATTGCATTTTTCATCGCTAGTATTTTGTAGGATTAATCTCTTCTGGAAGTTAATTCTATCAATGATAGGAAGGAAAATTGCTTACAAAATGAAAGTTAAGCTAACCATACATCTGAATGTATTATTCTTATATTTGTTGAGTATGAATTGTGCTCTATGCAATACATACTTTTAGTAGTTTTTACAACAAAACTCTCCACTAACTGTGTGCATATATGTCCAAATATCTGTCTATGTAATGTCAACTTAATTCAGAATCTATTATTTGGTGACATAGCTTCAAACAACTTGAGAAAATATTTAGTTATCTAATTTAATCTCTGACAGATACATCTTTATGGAACATCACTTGGTGGCTTCCTAGCACAACTCTTTGCTCAGCATCGTCCAAGACGAGTACGGTCATTGGTTCTATCAAATTCATTTTTGGAGACACGAAGTTTCTCTGCTGCAATGCCATGGGCACCCATGTACTTTTCTCAGATTCTAATTTAAAGAGTAATAATAGATATACGTAAGAAATGAGCAAATTGCCTGTGATTTTGTGTCTTTTTTAATTTATGAAAGATGAACAGCAATGTATGCTGACCTAGTGAAATTCCTAGCAAACAAAAGCATCAATGTTTACTTTGCCTGTACAAGCAGGACGATATGCACTGTCAAGAAGTTGTTATAGGTATACTCACACTAATCGCAAGGAAACTATAATTTTTTTTAAATTATTTATTTGTGTGGCAGAAGATGAATTACCCCTTGATAGTCAACTAAACTCTGCATTCTCCATAATTACTATTGTAAGCCCTTGCCGATATATATGGCATGCCTGACCTTGGAATGACAATCTCCCTCTCCTTAAACTTTTTTGTACTAAAAAATAAATAAGATATAATAAAATCTGCATTATCTGTCGTACTTGGGAATTTCTCATTGTATATCCTGATATTTCTTCACTAGATCTATTCTGTTCTCCATCTATTAACTGATCCTGTTTTACTGTTGCATTTTCAGTGTTAGTTGGACTCCTTCTTTTTTGCTGAAGCGGTATGTCTTAACAGGAATTCGTGATGGTCCTCATGAACCATTTATTGCAGATTCAGTGGACTTTGTTGTTTCTCAGGTAATCTTTGTCTTGCTTAATCTGGTGCTTATTAGCTATCTTGCTACTGATGTCTTCCACTATGCTGTGATTTTTCTCGCTTATAGACATCAAAAAGAGTTTCCATTTTACTTCAGATTGTAGGATCTAGTCAACTTTTTTCAGGCACTATTTCTGTAAAATGCAAATCTATATCCTGTTTATAGTAAACTTGTTTCTGTTTGTATTAGTTGTGTTAAATAACTTGTTTGATTTGTAATGTGACTTGATTCAGTAATATGCGACTTGATTCAGGTGGAAACCCTCTCTAGAGAAGACTTGGCCTCCAGATTGTCACTGACAACTGATGATGCTTCAGTGGGATCCCTTCTTCTTTCAGATTCATTTATCACTATAATGGATGTATGTCATCCCAGTCTTAATTTGTTTATTTCTGTATCATGAATGTCATCCCGTTCTGAAAATAATTGCTTTTTCTGCATGGTATTTTTTTCCGTTAATTATTCAGTTTCTAGATTAGAAGGTAACCTTATTGTCTTGGTGTGCCTAGTACAAGCTCTGTTTTTCTGTAATACTCCCTCCCTCTAGTTGATATGCTAAATTCTGCTGGCAGTTATTTCCAAAATCCAGAAACATTTACATTTTGCTTGTGATTTCGTGATAAAAATGTCTAATATTGTTAATAAATATTACTATTTTCTGATTTGCTGTTAAATTAAGACTCAATGAATAGTATGGTATAAGATTTTTTATGACTCTACTTTCTTCATTTTTACATGATCTTGCACCTTTCATAAAGACTAATGACTACTGTGCAATTCCTCAACAAGTAAAAGATCAATTAAGTGAAAGGTATCCTGAGGCAAGACGCGCATATTTGAAAACAGGTGGAGATTTTCCTTTTCTTTCCCGACCGGACGAAGTCAACTTACATCTTCAGGTACATGTGATATCCTACTTTTCTTACTTATTTTACTTGTGATTTGTAGTGGTCATGGATTTATGTTTTTTGTCTGTATCATGGCAGTTGCACCTTAGGCGGGTTGGTGTGGAAGCTCGGCCAGATTTGGTTCCCAGTATTCCTAAAGGTGATCTTGGAGGAAGTCCAAGCAAAGAAAATGATGGAGATCGACTCTGACAAGTCACGTAAGGATGACAAAAGAGACTCAGAAAATCCATCGGCTGAAAGTGAGATACATACTACCCCAGAAAGCTCAGAATCCCATAATTTAGAAAACCAGCCACTTGAAAGTTCAGAATGTTGTCACCTGGATCATGAAGTCACCTTATATGTCTTTCCTGTTGTATTCACAAAGGAAAAGAACATAGTGCCTCCAGAAACTCATGTACATTTCATGACGGAATATATTGTTCTTTTTTATCTTCTTCGTTACATCAGTTCACGGTACATTATCTGGAACTATTCTTTGGAATTTAGGCAAGTTGTGTAAGTTGGAATCTTTTGGATATACTCTGTATCATGAGAATTGAGTGCGTCAAAGAAAGTTGCTAAGCTCGATCTTATTGTGGACTGGATTTCTGAGTTCCTTTGCCTTGTGAACTTGAGTTATGTCCTTTGTAAGTTTTCCTTTGAAATTCGAAGGTAGTAAATAAATTGTTAAACCATCAAATTTCATATTTCTTGCTTTAAGCTTTTTACTAGATGATTGACATGAGAATGCTTTGTAAAATTTCTTTGTTCGGATTTTGGAATGTATCCATGTTAAAAATTCCTACTTTTTCTTTATTTATTTGATTGCTTTGATCTTAAAACGAATGTGATTATGGTTCAAAATGATAACAGACCATAAAAATGTATTCTGAATGTGTAAATTCAATTAAATATATAATTTACCGACTAACAGGCTATTTGTAAAATTTAAATGAGTAGAATAATAAAGATACTTCGAATTGAAGTTATCAATATTAGATGTAAACCAAACAATCATATTTGTATTAATATCAACATAATTTAGAAATTAAAGTAATTATACAGTAATAACTATTGTAATACTAATTTTCAAAGTAACAGGATTAATATTATTTTAACAAATAATAAATATTTATTTAAAATCTAAAATATAATATTAAATTAAATTAGTAAAGAAAGTACAAATTATATGTATATATACATATATGAAATTTTCATGTAATCTTTATGAAATTTTCATGTGATCTTTATGAACATTATTTCATGTGTTGTTAATGAAAATATTATTTCACGTGATCTTTGTGAATAAAACTTTTTATCTTTTATATTTTAATTTGGTTTGGCCTATAAACTTTAGTTTGCAACTTAGTAGACTTTACAAGTCGTGTTAGCCTTTTTACTTTTTTATAATAGGTCGAGCCAGATCTATAAATCAAGTCTTTAATAAGCTATAGGCTAGTATAGACTCTAAATGTTTTATATAGGCTTAAGCTATTAAAGACAAAGTCTGGCCTAATCTGACCATTTACATCCCTATCTGTAATACTAGCGTCACCACTCGCACCGCATGATTGCAACTGAGAAACATAGTGAAAGACTCTGATATCAAATTGATGGAATCCAAATTTATTAATCTGAAATATAAGAAAACATAAATGGAAACAAGCTCCTTACAAACACATAAACCAAAAAGATCTCAACTTACCCTTAGAACCAACTACCCTAAGCTCCAAGATAACCCCAAATTTCCCACTCTTCACTCAAGACATGCCTATCCCACTCTACACATTTCCTCTTTTTATTCCCTCTTCCAAAAATATTCTAAAACATTTTCCTAACAAACTGACTACTTACTCACCATATTCAGGCCCATCATGTACAAATTTGGTAGAATAATTAATTTAGGAGAATTTTATGGTGAATTAAATTTTATTGCTACTGGTCTGTCAATGAAGTAGTACACTGTGACCTGCATAGTACGACGGTTTTACACAACGATTTTTATCTCTAAACATGTGCATCAACATGAAGTCATGAAGTCTTCAATTTCTTTTCTTTATTTTCTTAAATAGAAAATAAATGATTTTGTTTTCAAATTACTTATCGTTTGAAATTATGTATAAGAACATAATTTAGAGTCTTCATAGTTTTTGTAGAGGTAGTGACACATATTACACGATAATTTAGTTTGCAACATTTGATTGTGATTTCCGAAGATGTTGGAAAAATCATAACTTGCGAGTTATTTTCCAAACTTATCAAAAGAATTTATGTTAATTGATGGTTTTGGCTTGGCCACCACTCCCGGGACTGAAAGATAAGGGGACAGAATAATTTTCTATTGAAGAATATTGAAATTAATAATCTTGTTTTACAGTCTTTCATGTTTGTTAATCAGTGTCAAGCAGTTACTGAATAGCTACTTTTGGATACCGCTTTCTTTCTTAATAATATATCCCATGTGGAGATATCCCATACGTTTAGAAAAGGTAATACTGTGGCAGATTGGCTTGCAAATCAGGCTTTTGGGCGTGATTGGAACATTCATATCTTTGACGAGATCCCCACTGGATGCAACCATCTTGTGTTCAAGGACTTGATGGGTGTCTCGACACCGAGAATGATCCCCAGTTAGTTCCCTTTTGTGTTTATTTCCGTTTTTGTTTCAAATATATATATATATATATATATATATATATATATATATATATATATATATATATATATATCCCCATGTGCTGCAATAATTGGATTCCTTTTGACTGAGTAAAAAAACCAAAAAAAATTACTCCCAATATTCTTACATATTTACAAAAAAATTATTTTCCAGATATACGATAACCTTTCAGTAGTAACTTTATCAATGCTCTAGACTTGACCAGTATAACATATCAGCATTAATATTAGCATAATGTACCCAAAAAATAAAGTATGCTAATATCAGATACTAGCATTATATTGTGAATTCAAAGTTAAAAAATCGTAAAGTAGTGGATTTGTGCTGTTACGGGTTTAGAGATACATGGACGAATTTTAGACTCTTTTGGGGAAGCAGTCGATCATAAATTTCTAATAGTACATTCCTAAAGTTTCGATTTGAATCAATAAAAATGCTCTGATGCGCCTTTAATAAAAGATCCAAGCACATTAGTTACTAATTAGTTATATACAAATGTTTAGGGTGAGATTTCTTTATGCTGATTATTATTTGTAATTTTGGGAATTAGGTTGGGGAATTAAGAGAGGGAATAGGAAAGCTCTCAAAGCTAGGTAGTTGTCTTGAAGTGGAGTTTTCACTTTTCTATGTTGGTTATTACTTGTTGTAATTTCTGAATTCTGTTGATATTAATATAAATATGATGATTTGGTTTACATCTGGTGTTGGTAAACTTTAATTCGAATGATACTATTATTCTGTCAATTTGGTATCAAAGCACTTTCGATCTAGGGATGCTTTTGGTCCAAACTCTTGAGAGACTAAAAGTCATAGTAGGAATCAGAGATTTCGAGCTTAGAGAAATGTTGAAGAAAATTATAAATGAGGTATTAGGGAAGTCAGAGAGTTTTTGAAAAAAAAAACGAAGAAAAAAAAGCAAGAAAATGCAACAACAAGGAAAGAAGAAGAAGAAAAAGAAAAAAGGAAAAATCAAAAGAAGGAAACGTAGAAAGAGCAGAAGAAGAAATCAAAAAAGAAGAAAAAGAAAAAAAATGGTTGAAGAAAACCAGAGAAAGAAGAAGAAGAAGAAAAAGAAAGTAACAGAAGGAAAAGAAAAAGCGAAAGGAAGAAGACGAATAAATAGATGGAAACACCGAAGAAGAAGTGGATGCTAATGACGTTGCAGAGAAAGGAAAAAATAAAGATGCAGAAGAAGAAGCGCAAGAAAATGAAGAAGATAAAAAGGAAGAAGAAAAGGTAAAGATTGAAGAAGAAAAAGATGAAACTAGAGCAGAGGTGATACACGATGTGACTGATCTGAACCGTATCATGGAATTGCCTCAACAGGTGGAAGAAAGGGAAACAGTTCAGGTTCAAGTCGCATCTCCATTTGGGAATCATGTAGGGGTATTCATCAACCGATTCAAACCGCGATTACTCAACCGAAAAATCGATAATTGAATTAACCGAAAAATCAAAAACCGAAATTTTTTTTGCATATTTTAATTGGATTAGATCGATTTTCAGTTTGGTTGGTGAAAATCGATCCAATCCAAACTGATCCAATGTATTATGTATTTATTATTTTCGAAAGATTGTGACTTAGAATCTTGTTGTTTTTGTAGACTTGGAATCTTCGTTGTTTTGAGGACTTGGAATCTTATATGTTATTGATAGCAAACTATCTTGTTTTAATTTTTTATTGTCTATTATTGGCACCAGAAAGAAAATGACAGAGTACACAAGTGCCAATGATCCAAATAACAACAACAAGAATACAAATGACACTGAATTCACACTTTTATTAATGGATAACCAAACTATCTCACCACCGTGAAAATAGCTTGTGACAATACAAGGAAATTTAAGAACAATAATTGAAAGTGCAGTATCTCAGAACCTCCCTCTCTCAATCATCTACCCGATTGAAAGAGATACACTAGTAACCCATACCCATGGTAGCAGCTGGTACTCTCTTCCCAGTGCTCACAACCCTTAACCGACTCCAAAAATATGCTCCCCCTATTCCCCACTAACTAACTTATATGCTACTTCCTCCCCTTCGCTCTCTTCACCACCAATTTTCCCTTCCCCATTCACAGCTTGCCACGTGTCCATGCTTGTAACCAACTTTGTTTTGCCCTTAGCTTCCTTAACCCTTCTCTCATGGCCCTTATGTTTATACACTTTATCATATGGCTGGAGATGCCCATCAATACCCCCCTTCAAAATTCACCTTGTCCTCGAGGTGAAATGAGGGCCAGTGATTCTTAAAATCTAGCAAATTCTCTCATGTATTCTCACAGTTCGGCAACTCATCTCGTTTCACCAGAATCTTCACTTGCCCATCTAACAGACGTCAAGCTTGAAGGATAGCAGCCAGCTGGACTTGTAACTCCAATGAATTAGTTAAACACCGTGGTAAATCCAACACTTGGATAGAAGGATGAATTACCCGTTTCAACTGTGACACATGAAAAATCGAGTGTATTTTTGAGTATGAAGGCAGCTCTAGTCTATAAGCTATGGGGCCCACTTGGTCAATGATTTCAAAAGGCCCATAAAATCGCGGGCTTAATTTTTGATTGATCCTTCTTGCGAAGGATTTTAACTTGTATGGCTGAATTTTCAAAAAAACTTCTCCCCTACTGAGAACTTTTCCTCCCTACGATGCTTATCTGCTTGTATCTTCATTCTATGTTGCGCTTGCTGCAACTTCTGTTTGAGCTCGTCTAAAATGGCATCACGAGCACCCAACCAAGCATCCACTGCTGCCTGTCGTAAATGAAATAATCACCGGAGGATCTCGGCCATACAAAGCACGAAAAGGATTTGGATTGACTGGTTGTATGAAGTGTTGAACCAGAATTCAGCCCAAGAAAGCCATTTTGCCCAACTCTTGGGGTGACCATTAGCAAAACACCTTAGATAGGTCTCTAATGTTCGATTAACAACCTCTGTTTGGCCATCCGTTTGTGGGTGGTAAGCGGAGCTGAATCGCAGTTTGCTGTTAGTTCGCTTGAACAGCTCACACCAAAAATTACTAAGAAAAATACG